CCTCTTGATAACAGGCTGTATGTTGTCTCCACTTAAAGTGATCAAGAGTTAATCGAGATACTTATCTTACCTCTTAGCAATGGTTTTAAACTGATCTTCAGCAAGCTGAATTATATATCCTTTGTCAGGCCATGGATTTTATTACACTAGAGATTGATGTATTTTTGAAGATAAGTTTTGTTTTATGACTTAGCAGTTTGGAAATGAAAGAAAATCCTTTCTATACACATGTATAGAATAGTCTTTTGGACTCTGTGGGAGAGGGTGAGGGTGGGATGATTTGGGAGAACAGCACTGAAACACGTATATTATCATATGTGAAACGAATCACCAGTCCAGGTTTGATGCGTGATGCAGGGTGCTCGGGGCTGGTGCACTGGGATGACCCAGAGGGATGGGATGGGGAGGGAGGTGGGAGGGGGGTTCAGGATGGGGAACACATGTACACCCATGGCTGATTCATGTCAATGTATGGCAAAACCAATACAATATTGTAAAGTAAAAAAAAAGAAAATCCTTAGAAATTTCATTTCTGTGTGGTGGTAGTATCAGAGGAGTGTGGACCGAGGAAGAAAGAAAAGGCTTCTTCCAAACTTCTCACTACTACTGCCTGTTTCTGCTCTGAGTCAGTTTGTGTGTGTGGCCCAAGCTGATGCCTCCTTAGGCAGGATAGAAGATGATCTCAAGGACTTTGCCTGCCAGTGATTTTCTTGATGGTGATGATCCAGATGGGAGACTTGTAGTAGTGATAGTGGCATTTGTTCTCTCCCTAACTGTGACTTCAACCCCTCACTGATCTTCAGATTATGAATTCTGAAGTAAAGAATGAAAACGGTAACTGTTCTGGCAAATTTAGCTTCTGCTGTACTCTGTGCTTGCCAGTCTTCTTTCAGGGTATATTTGTATATGTATTTTTTTCTTGCATGAATATATGCAAAGCTGGAGCCAGAGTGTTCACACTGGTGTTAGTGGCCCCAGCATTGCCTATTGGGTTAAACATCACTTTATCTAAATAATTGTTCACTTTTGCTTTTCATCATGGACTAATAGAAACTAATATACGTAAGATGCCTGATAGAAAATTCAGAAGAGGGTGCATATGCATTAGTGCATCATCACACTGAAAGCTCAAAGGGAATTGGTTTCATAATCACAATGTTTATGATCCGAAGAGAAACAGTGGCTTATTTCATTATTTAAAGTGTACAAATACAGAAGGATGTCTAAAACTAAATTCACCAGATTTTTAAACAAATGAACATGATCCTTAATGAGAAGGAGGAATAATGATTATTACTTTTATTTATTGCTTTAATGAGTTTTCTCAGATTTAGGTACTTCACTGGTAGCTTACTGATAAAAAATTTGCCTGCCAATGTAGGAGATGGTGGGTTTGATCCCTGGGTCAAGATGATCCCTTGGAGGAGGAAGTGGCAACCCACTCCAGTATTCTTGCCTGGAGAATCCCATGAACCGGGGAGCCTGGTGGGCTATAGTCCATGGGGTCACAAAGAGTCTGACACAACTTAGCAACTACACAGATTAATGAGTATTCACTTGATAATAGACAGTGTTCTAAGCACTTTACACACATTATATTATTCTAAACAACATGAGTTTGGTATTACCATCCCATTTTAAAGATGAGGAAACTGAGTTTAGTGAGATTAAATAACTTGTCTGAGCTTCTATAGTTGTTACGTGAAGTAGCCGGAAATAGAACCAATGAGTTTGACTGGCCCCAGAGCCACTAAGCCACCATATTGGACTGAAGATCGGAATGGGACATACATCCACTGGAAAGTAAATTGTGGGGATAAAGCTGTGAGTCTCTAGATCCTGGTGAATTCACCACCTGTCAGGAAGTGAATTCTTTCCTCTTCTCATTCTAAGAATAATTGTAGGGACTTAAGGAAACTCTGTTCATGGGGACCTTCCAAGAAAATGACCTCATGTCAATTTTGGTTGTGCTTATAAAATGTTTTTGGCCGTATTTTAAGAGAGGTTTTCACATGAAACTTTTTAACTCTAGATATTTGGATGGTCAGTTACTTGGCTTCTTTTTTGTCTCCTGTTCATTTTGTTTATTTTTTATAATTGGAATAAGTCTAAAAAAGGGATGAATATTGAAGAGAGACATCATTTTGTCTTCCTTTTGCAGTGTTAGGTTTAGTGATTTCCCTGACTCAAATACTTTAATGATTGAGTGGATAAATTCAGGGGATTAGATGTGGGTTCCTGAATATATACCATTGCTATTTTTAACAGTATGGGTAATTGGGAGATGGTTAACTTTCAGCTTTTGCTTTGAAAACACTATTATTTTCTCTAGCAATTTCATTCATAATAGTCTGTTTGTAAGAGTCTAGTGTACTTCTTAGGGCTTCCCTGATAGCTCAGTTGGTAAATAATCTGTCTGCAATGCAGGAGATCCCAGTTGATTCCTGGGTTGGAGAGATTCTCTGGAGAAGGGATGGGCTACCCACTCCAGTGTTCTTGGGCTTTCCCTGTGGCTCAGCTGGTAAAGAATCTGCCTGCAATGCGGGAGACCTGGGTTGAAAAGATCCCCTGAAGAAGAGAAAGGCTACCCACTCCAGCATTCTGGCCTTGAGAATTCCATGGACTGTATAGTCCATGGGGTTGCAAAGAATTGGACATGACTGAGTGACTTTCACTTCACTTCAGTGTACTTCTTAACCGTCACTTAAATGAAAGGCATCAGTGAATAATGTAGCAAAATAGCTTATTTAGTTTATATAGTGAAGTTCCAGAAGTTGTCCTCTTAACCAACTGAGAGCAATATGTAGAAAGAAAACTCTAGAAACACATATGTAGAAGGCATTTAAAAGTAATCATAGCAAGGTAAAGTTTATTAAGTTCAGAAAAGTCTATGATTTTTTAATGGGTTATCCATAACATCTTATGGAAAACTTCGCTCAATCTTTCTGCCCAACCCACTATTTTCATTTGATTTTGCTTCTTTACTTTTTAAAACAAACAAGGAAGATTCAACTATTCATAGAAAAAATTGATCAATATTATGCCGTTATATCCTAGAAATTTTTGATCAATTTCTCTTTCTCTGAATCAGACTCTTGGCACCATTTAGACACAGCATGATAGCAACCAAGTAGGCAGTTTCTAGGGAATATATTCCAATGATTTCTTTCTCTCAGCATCTCAGAAAGTGAAAAATGAGTTATCCTGTGAAGCAGTCGACACATGTTTGCCTCTAAAATAGTTCAACTTGGGAGGAGTAACATTTTCATTGGCTATTTTTTTCAAAGAGTTTGTCGGTGGAGACTTACTGAAAAGAAACCCACTGATGGAGGAAATCTGGACAGTGAAAACTCATCTGCCCGTTACCAGATTCCCCTGCTTAGACTCAATATCATACCAGATAAATCATGCATTTTATAATATATTTTCATATACATTGCCTTTATATTTACCTTGTTCTATATCCCCCTCCTACCCCAATAGTCTGTACCATTAGAAACTACATTGGCCATGATAAATGTAAACTTTCTATGTCTCCTTTTATTTAAGGTATGGAAAATTTTTGAAAGTTTCATTTTTATTTATCTTTAGCATTCCATTCCTATAAAGCCTCAGAATTTCCTCTGGACTGATTTGTGATATGTTTGGTGTTTGTTGGCAGATTTGGAACATTTCAGTTTTAGTTGTTTCTCCACATGATATAAGATCTAATTACCACCCAGCATGATATAGCAGCTGAAATGAAAAAGGCAGCAAGAGAAGGCACTGACTTAACTTTAGAGCTCATCAGCTACTCCTCCTTATATACTTTTCAGCTAGAAAAAGAAAGAGAAATAGCATTTATTAAAGTAACTCATATATTAAACTTTCTTTTCTTAATTTTATCTGAAAGAGGGGATTTGTTCAAATATGGAAACAAGACATTAAAAAACACTTTTAATTTGCATTAGTAATCATTGATTCTTCTTTAATTGTGCAGAATATTTTCATTATTGGGGTTGCTAGAAGTAGTCTTGTTCTATTTTCTTGACATTTAAACAGATAAAACAAACATTGAGAAGAATAAAATCAAGTGAATGATTAATCATTTTGTATAAAGCTTAGAACTTACTCAGTTTTGAACTTTCAGATCCTAAATCTGTCTGGAAAAGAAAAGCCTCTAGATTTCTATTTAAAGTGTATGTCATCTTAGTATGCTAGTTTGGGGGCTTTTTATTTTCTGAAGCAAATGAGTTGGGTAATTTACCTGTTGGCAGGAAAGATTGATAATATTTTGTACTTTTTAAATGACTATGGTCTGAGTTTTCTCATATCAGATTCTCAGAAAGTCAGATTTGGTTTGGGACAGGTGTGGAGAAACACAGACACTATCATTGTTTCGATTATGTGTGGTACAACAACTCTGAAGGGAAAGTACCTTAAATGGAAATGCATATATCCAGCAATTCCACCTCTAGGAATCTGTCTTGAATATGTATGTATGGAAATATTCCTAGTGGTAGTATTTGTGATATAAATAGAAAAAATACAAAACATCAGTGATAAGAAAATGTAAATTATGGTATGTCTATATCCAAATGTACCTCATTCTTTTTAATAGTTGCTCTTAAAGAGAATTAAATACATTTACATGTACTTATAAAGAATATTCTATCAGTTACCCTGTTAAGTGAAAAGAGCAGAGAGTTTATGTCTATTTGTGCTTCAAAAAGCAAAGGATAGAGATGGGTGTGTGCAACTTCCCTCTCTTCTCTCTTCCTCACATAAACATGGATTGACACATCTAGGGATAAATGGGTGGAAAGACACAAAAGAAACTATCGGTGGTATTTATAATATCTTTGGTGCATGGGACTAGGCATCTGGGAAGGAAGGCAGGTTTTTTTTTAATGGAGGAAGCAGCAAATATTTTTTATGCTGTTTGAAATGTTTTAACATGTACGTGTTATTTTTCATAATTAAGAAAATTTAAATTAATGACCAACTCTACTTTTTTTTAGGACTCAGCCCAGGAGAGTGTTATTACTCGAGATATTCATCGTACATTTCCTGCACATGATTACTTCAAAGATACTGGAGGAGATGGCCAGGAATCTCTCTACAAGATCTGCAAGGTAGGGCCCTCTGCCTTATTTTTTTCTAACTTCCTTTTCAGGGCTGCATTCTAGGAATGCATCTTAAAGTTTTTTAGATTTTCGTTCTGTCTGCATTTCTTATTTGCCCTGTGCCATTGTTTGTCCTTTACACTACCACCACCAGATCCTCCATACTGAGTCCTGAAGGTGACTTTTGGGCTGCGTGCTCTGTACCTTCTTGTGAGGGAGGGCGCATAGTTTGACCTCAGTTTGGCTTTGATGCTAACAGGAAAGGAACTGAAAGGTCCTCTTACACTACTGCACTGAAGGCTCAGAGGATTCTCGATGACTCTGTCTATCTGACAAGATAATGTGGCAGTTGTTGCAATTTTTGACAGTAGGCAAAAGTACGGAACAGGGTGGCATCTGTTTTGGAATACTGGCAGGTTCTCTGACGTTGTTGATATCCTCTGAGTTATATCACAATTTTGTGCAGTTTTTAACGTCCCATTTTGAAATCTTTCTTCTCCCTCATTATTAGTATACCTGGAAGAAAACGGTTTCCTGCTTTTCAGTAAATAGGCCTTGCTTAAATTAAAAAAACAAAAAAGACTTTGTTTATTAGTGGAGAATAGTTATCAGATTATTAATTTCTGAAAATTCTGTTAGAAATGCAGAATAACTTTTCAAATTATTATATATCATTAACTTGTATTGTCCATGCTAATTGAGGCCAGAGACTCAAAATTGCAAAATTTCCATTAAAAAAAGTTTTGCCCTTTATCCTCAAAGTTAAAATGTCCTACAAAGTGTGGTGGGTATATTCAGTATTTGTCCTTAGCTGCCATTCCAGTAAAGATTGTTAATGAATAGTGATCTACACAAAAATCTTTTAATAGTAAGGAAAACAACAAACACCATGGCTGATTTTCGAGCCAGATTACATGTTTCTGAATTATCAAATTTAGCCTTTAGTTAAGTATTAAGTAGCAAAGATTAGTCAGTAGATAGTCAGAAATATACTCCCATATCAATATCATTTTATATTTACTTTTTTAAAAAATGGCACTTGTAAAAGCAGTGCTTACATGTGCTTACCAAGTAGGATTGATGTTCTGCAAATGTTACACTTTGATTAAAATCCTTCTTGCATGTTTGTGTTTTAGCCTTCTGCCTACTCCTATCTTGTCTTGTCTTTTTCCCATTTCTTTTCTTTTGATGTAGCCATATTGGAGGATTATAAATGTACACACTGATCAGAAGTCTATTTTTATATGACTATATCACTAAAAGCTAGAAATGTATTACTAACTTAAAGTCTGACAATGTACTGATTTCTGGAAGGTGATATGTCATCTATTCTTTAAATGCCCGAAACCATCAAACACCACAAAAAATGTATCTTATATTCATTATATGCTTGTAAAAAGGAAATGTAATTATTAAAATTTTTTTCTACCAGTTTTGAAATTTTACAAGCTAGTGTCTGGCTTGTATCAGGAAGATATCAAAATTTATATAGTCTCTTAAGTTATTTAGAAAGGTCTGACTTACGGTTTATTGAGCAGCGTTTTTCTCCTAGAGTTTAGTATATTTTCAGCCATTCAGTAACTTTTCTTGCAATTTGTCTCTGATTGAATTTAGATACTTTTTTCACATATCTAAAACAGATGGCTCGATGTGCTTGCAGCCTGTACCTCACAGTTTTGCTCCATTGTAGTAAACCAGTATTTGCTTCCTTATGTAAGATTTAGAGAGGAAGCATCCAAAACACTACTAAACACAAAGATAGAAGTTAAATAGTTGGTACATTTAAGTAGTTGATACCCCTTGTTTTTGTATTACGAATAATAATCCAGCCTTGAATTCACTAGAAAGTATTTGTTATACATTCCCACAGCTTGTGTAGCCATTTTAGAGTATCAGTGTGTGTTTTGTAATATGATTACACAGTTTTAAACTCTTTCTGAGTAAAAAATGTTATGAAAATGTAGCTCTAAGATACATTATAATTGCAGAGTAGCTTAAATTGCACTGAATTTCATGAAAATGTGGACCCCTCCCCGAAAAAATTCATATTAAAAGCATTTCAGAATTCAAGATAGTAAATAAAAGTCCCTAAGGCTTTTAATATTGCACTAAAATATATATTACCCATACATAACTTTTCAACTATCTTTGATAATGTTGGAGAAACCAAAGTTTGTTGGGGTCCTGCCTTGTGGACCACTTGGTTTGTAACTGACACAATTCCTTTTCTTCTTGAGCTGCTGTTGTTTAGTAGTCCAGTCTTCTTGCAGGAAAACCTGTGATAGTGGTGATAATTACACATAGTTTAGATTAAATATTCTTCTCAAGTTTGTTCATCCACTTTCCTTTGCTTTTTGTATTCAATTTGAGCCATATAAGCTTTATCCTGCTGTGTATGACTTTTAAGGTCACTGAGTATGATGTCCCTATTCTATCATTTTTATTTCTAGAATAGTATCTAACATCATATCTCACAGTCTCAGCAATAAAACTGAGTTTCCATTCTGGATACTTTGCACAAAGCTGAATAAGCGTTAATAAAACCTTGATTTAATAGCATTAAATCAGCTATTTAGTTATACAATTTGTAAATTAGGACAGTTTTGCTTCTTCTTAAGCCATTCTTATTCTTTTTTTCCCCTTAATAAGTTTTGTCTTATTGCACTGACCCAAACCTCTATTATAGTGTTAAAATGAAGTAATGATAGTAGACATCCTTGTCTCACTCTTGATTGTAAAGGAAATGCATTTAATGATTTACCACTAAGAATGATGGTATTCACATAAGCAACACATTTATAGACTTTTTTTTCACACAATAGCTTCCAGGTGTTATAATAAATTCAAATTTACAGAGTACTTTCACATATATCACCTCATTTATTTCTGACAACTCCTCATCAATGAAATCTGTTCTAGATATGTAATATGCTATGCTCTTAAATTGAGAGACAAATTATTAAGAGAACTTAAGTTAGAATAAGTGTAGAAATCAACTCTAGTTTCAAGGATACAGTCTGACTTTGTAGTTAAAAAGTTGTCAGTGACTGATGAAATGAGGAATGATCTGAACTGTCAGATTAGAGGGAATACTGTTAAAAACTCACTGTCATGTTTTAATGGCCCTGTCAATTTTAGTTTTTGACTCTTAATGTCTTTTGCAGAGTAGGAGGAAATCGAAAAGGTTCAAAGATTCTCCCGTTGTCATAAATTTATGTGTGGAAGTGGAACTGAAAGTATAACAGGATTCATAAGATTCTAGAAGCAAGAAGGTTTTGGCACCCTTCCCCTCCTTTCTCTCTCCTCTCCCTCACTCTTTTCTCCCTTCTCTCCCTCCTTTCTTTCCTATTAATTATGTCAATAACATATTTTAAAATAGTGTCCTTTAAAGGAGGAAGAAGATACAGTCTCCCCAAGTATCTTTAGCACTTTTCTAATTTACATATGATGTGAAATCTGGTTTTAGTTGAGAGACAGTTTGGCATAGTTTAAAGGACTAAACATTAAGAGATCTGATTCTGGTCTTATTCCTCCTGTAGGCAGATTTAAGACTTTGGGAAAATCACTTCTTAAATTTCCTCCTCAGTAAGAGCGTGAGGTGTGGTAAGATGATTCTTCTTACAGTTTGCTTGAAATTTTTTTTTTCTGAAATATGACATATTGAATGAGGACTCGAACAGTTACTGATAATTCCTATATTAGGTCCCAGCTCTATTTGTCAATACCAGGACTATAAATGGACGTGATTTTACTTTGAAATCTTTGCCTTGCTTTCTGTTAGTGTGTTTGGGAGTGTGTTTCATGCAAACATGAAATGTAGCACATTTAGTGATTTACTTCTAGATATACATCTCTTTATAAGACCTAAGACAAGTCAGTCATAGTAATTAGCTAAAACATTGTTCACAACAGGTTAGACTGAAGTGACTCTTGTGCAGTTTAATTTGAGGCATGTTGCTTTTTCAAATTTTCTGATTCCAGCAAACTGATTTATATAAAAGAGGCTACTGCTGTGAATTAAAAGAAGGGATTGAGCATATTACAGAGAAATCACATCTCTGTTCATCTGGGTTAATAATTTGCTAGTATAATGGTTTGTAGAAGGACAAAAATAAATGTAACTCCTGTTGCAACACATATTTTTCTCAAAAATGAGGCTGGATTTAATATAAGAACTGAAGCATTTCAGGAGTTATTTTGATACCAAAATGATGAGTGGTCCGATACATAATTTTTACAGAACACAAACGATCACTGACTCTTGTGAAAGTAGATACAGTTGTATATTATTTATATTGTTTTCTTGATTTATGGGGGGTTGATTGAAGATTGAGGGCAGGAGAAGGGGACGACAGAGGATGAGATGGTTGGATGGCAACACCGACTCGATGGTCATGGGTTTGCGTGGACTCCGGGAGTTGGTGATGGACAGGGAGGCCTGGTGTGCTGCAGTTCATGGGGTCGCAAAGAGTCAGATATGACTGAGCGACTAAACTGAACTGAACTGTGACTGTAGGGATGAGTTGTTACAGAATTGATAGTACTTTCGATACAGTTTTTTACCTATTTGACAACTTGTAATGCATCTGTCTTCCTTGGGGTTCCTGAATGATCCCTAGTTTGAATGACATTTTCTGAACACATTATAGCCTGCTATCATCCTTCCTCCAATCTATTAAATTCTTGATTAATGTTGTTTTATTTTTCAGTTCTAGAATTTCCATTTGATTTTTTTAAAAAGTAGATTCTAGTTCCTTGGTGAAATTACTTTTTTTTCTTTTCATTTTCTTGAACAGATTAATCACAGTTATTTTAAAGTGCAAGTCTGATAAAATCTAGTATCTGATCATCTATGAATGTATTGTAGCTCAGCTGATAAAGAATTGGCCTGCAATGTGGGAGGTCTGGGTTCGATCCCGGGTTTGAGAAGATGCCCTGGAGAAGGGAAAGGCAACCCACTCCAGTATTCTGGCCTGGAGAATTCCGTGGACTGTATAGTTCATAGGGTC